TGCTCACCTTACTAGACCTGGATGAAGGTGGGTGGTCCTTGGACTTCCCACAGGGCAGGGAACCCTGATTGCTCTTTGGGCTGATGAGGGAGGGGAACTTGATTGGTGGAGGGGGAGGGAAATGGGAGGCGGTGGTGGGGAAGAGACAGAAATCTTTAATAAATAAATAAAAAATATTTGTGATGAGAAAAAAAGATACTATGCAGTGCCTGACCTAGTTCCCACAGTACACTGGCTTTGCAGGTTGTAGCAGTTTGAATAAAATTGGCCCCCAAAAGCTCATATAGGAAGTGGTACTATAAGAAAGTGTGGCATTTTTTGAGTAAGTGTGGTCTTGTTGAAGAAAGTGGGTCACCGTGGGGCAGGCTTTGAGGTCTTTTCTGCTGAAGCTATTCCAGTTCATTTCCTGTTTCCTGTGGCTCAAGATGTAGGACTCTCAGCTCCTTCTCCAGCACCATGTAATCCTACATGCCACCATGTTCCACCATGATGATAATGGATTAAATCTCTGAAACTGTAAGCACCCCACTGAATGTTTTCTTTTATAAGAGTTGCCATGGTCATGGGTGTTTCTTCACAGCCATTGAAACCCTAATATACAAGTGTAAGTACATTTCCAAATATGGGGATCCGGAGTCATAAAATAAAAAGTCTGTATCATAATTACACAGCTCTCTCATTTGTGAGAGACTGCATCATATTATATAGTAGCTGCATCCATCACATTTCTTCTTATGAACCATCTGTGAGATGTGTAGATGCAAGTCAAGGATAGTGTTGACAATAAGAAAGTCTAGAAGTGTGCTTGTTTAAAGGTCTTAAAATACCAATAGGAAATTAAATTATTACAATAAGAAATGTAAATACATGAAAATGTGTCAAACTCTCATTATGTCTTAGGTACTATAATGTATTTGTTTTCTGAAGCGATGATGGCTCATAAATATGAGTACCATGATCTTATAATGTCAGAAACATAGTGTACATAAGCAAACAGTTTATTGTCTCCTCTATGATTATCACAGTATATCAGTATTTTTAACCCTATTAGGTGTGAAGACAAATGGGTCTAGAATCAAATGTCCTTTACTTCTTAAAGAATCAGTTGTTTACCACTATGGTACTCTATGGTAGTGCAAAGTTAACTGCTCTGTAAAGAACAACCAAACAAATTAACAGTATCAAGCCAGTTCTTAGATGGAGCATGGGGTTCAGTATCTCTGAGAGGACTGTGATATCTGTTATGCTATTTTTGCCAAACAGAGTAGGTACTCGTGCAGGATCTTCTACACAGGAAGTGCCAATTTCACACTTCAGCAGTCAAGTCAGTCAATAGCATCTGACAATGGATGTACTCTAGGCCAATGTGCAAAGCAAACTCTTCAAGCATTTTTGTTATTGTTATTTCAAGGAAAAAATAGAATAAACTTTATATTTGATTTTTAAAAATAAAAGAGATATAAGAGAAGTTTAGTGGCCTGGGTAGATTTCAGATCTCCAATCACTTAGAGATTTAATTTTCTAGAAAACCAAACAAACAAGCAAACAAAAACCTGAAATTACATACACTGGAAAACACATAAATTAAAGTGCTGACTCATATAGCCACCAAGGAAATCAGTGTAGTGGTTCCCTGGGAAGATGGGAACTGATTTGCCTCAAGATCTGGTTACATTACTCCTGGGTTGTTAACCAAAGGACTTTTAATCCTGCAATAGAGACACTTACTCAACCTGGTTTTTATTGCTCTGTTCATAATAGCCAGAAATTGGGAACAACCTAGATGTCCCTCAAGAGATAACTGGATAAATAAAACGTGGTACATTTAGACAGTGGAGTATCACTAAATGTTTTAAAAATAAAGTCATGTAATTTGCAGACAAATGGATAGAACTAGAAAAAAATCATTGTGCGTGAGGCAATTCACACTCAGAAAGATAAATATGGTATATATTTGCTTATATGTAAATATTCATGTTTATGTCAATGAAAACCAAACTATAATCCATAGAATCACACAAGTTAAGTATAGAATAAGGGCTGGAGAAGAGATACAGATCTCTCTAGGAAATGGAAGCATAATAGTACAGAAAACGGGAAAACTAGAAAGGGAGGGATAGTGGAAAAAGAGAGAGGTGAGGGATGGAATACTAGGAGATACAGCTAAATTAAGTGCTGATTGAGGAGCAGAATGGGAAACCAATACACTAGAAGTGTCCTAAAGTATATACGCATATGAAAATGATCTTCATTAAACATGACAGAGCCCCATCTGGATATGTCTTGTTATCAAGTAAAACTTCCATTATGGGGAATAGGTTACAATAATCTACTTGGGTTGTAGGTCAAAGAGGTCCCAAGAGAATCCAAAACAACCCAGGCTGTTGCCGAGTATATAGGTTGTGTCTACAAACTGACTGATGGCAAGGCCCCATTGCTGAAGACAACATCTATACAAACTCACTGAACATGGAGAAGTCGAGCTGGTTGGTGCCTACCAAGAGCCTTCACCCCTATGGGCTAGCATCTTTGGTATAAGAAAGGCACTCTGCACACTACCAAATGAGAAACATAAGCACCAACAAAGCTAAAAGCTCTATATCTACACTAATGTCTTGCTGGCAAAATACGCGAGGGTAATGTTGGCACAACCCTTGTGAGATTATCCAGCCTATATATGACTTGATGTGAAGTCCACTCCACAAGACAGAACTCATACCTGACTCTGCCGAGGTGACCAAGAACCTGAGACTAGAGAGCCCAGGGACCTAGAGAAGAAACAAGTACTACTGTTCTCTGCGGCGAACTCCCTGATCAGCAGGAAGGAACAGCCACCAGGCGAGGATTCTTCCCAAATCACGCTTTATGGGAGCCTCTTGGTTATAGGGAGAGCAGGAAGCGAGGGGCCCCGAGCTCTGAGCTGCAGCTGCTTATATAGGGAGTCTGCCTAGCAACCTTTGATACTTTGATACTTTAACTGCTTTTCGGGAGACCCACCAGCCGGAAAGAAAGCAGGGGAACATCCCTGTCAATTACAGACCACAAACAAGGAAGTTCCCCTGCCGGTCAGGGGAAGTGTGGGCAGCTAGATCACAACAACTCACCCTGTTTTCTGGTGGAAGAACTGCAACCTTTATTATACTCAAATCGGCTCCCAGCAGTTCTCCTAAAGGAATGTCATGAGAAAATAGCTCCTAATGACATTCTGCTATACTCAGATCATTGCCTTACTCAGCCATCATCAGAGAAGCTTCCTTCTGCAGCAGATGGAAACAAACATAGAGACCCACAGCCAGACACTGTGCAGTTAGAGACCTCAGAACAGGCAGCCCTAAAGAAGATGTCTCCATAAAATCCTTCCTCTGAGGGCTCAAAGAACCCTGTAAGAGGAGGCAGAAAAAGCTTAAGAGTGAGAGGGCGTGGAGGACACCAAGGAACCAAGGCTTTCTAAACACAACAGAGTTGGCACACATAGGAACTCAGAGACGGAGGCGGTATGAACAGGGTCCAAGGGTCCATACCAGATGGGATCCTATAGCTAACAGGAGAAGTAGACACATGCTCCATGTGTTTACTGGAGATAAGCCAGAAGTTATCTCCAGTTGATAACTACTTGCAAATGAAGATTCAGTTTTCTGCAAGGGAAGCTCACTGGGAAACTACCCTTAGGGTTCGGCTGCCTGACCTGAAGTAGATGTTCAACAACAACAACAAAGCAACCCAATGGCATCTATAGAGTTTCCTTGTCTAAAAATAGACTGACAAGACTTTTTCTTTTCTTTTTCATTTTACATTTTTTTCTTTTCCCTTCCTCCTTTTTCTTCTTCTTCTTCTTCTTCTTCTTCTTCTTCTTCTTCTTCTTCTTCTTCTTCTTCTTCTTCTTCCTTCCTTCCTTCCTTCCTTTCCCTTCTTTTTTTAAAATTTGTTCTTTTATCTTACCCTACAGGTCCCTTGGATATTTATTATAGCTTCAAGTTTTATGTTTTAATGGGATTCCTGAGTGTGTGAACAAGAGTGTCTCTGAGTCTATGTCTTTTCTAGTCCTTCTAGATTCTTTTCCTTCTGTTTGTTTTGTTGCACCCAATGTGGGTTTTTTGTTTTACTTTTTCATATTCTATTAATATACTATATTGACCTGTATTTTATTATCCTCTAGAAACCTGTTTGTTTCCTAGCAAGAGACAGAAAGGGAGTAATTGCAGATGAGAGGTGATATGGAGAGGAACTGGGAGGAGTAAAGTGAGGAGAATCTGTAATTAAAACATATTTCATTATAAATCTATTTTTAATGAAAGTAAAAAAGAGTCCTGAAAAAAAAAGAGTCCTGTACTGAAGATAAAACTTCTCCACTGTCTATATATAATATAGAGGGAAAAGCTTGAGCTCCTAAGAACAGGGACTTTTGCATCTGTCTTTGGAATGTATTCATGGCAAGTAAGTAGTTATTTATCTGCCTTGATTGCATTAATTGTATCTTTATTTCATATGCCAGGCATTCTGTGTTTCTCCTGCCATACAGTACTCCCAGTAACTGGATGACTTGCTGCCCTTCAGTGAGTGAAGATAAAGTCTCTAGACACAACTATTGAAGGACTGTAGCCTAGCTGATAGCAGTGTGTTTGCTTATGTTTGTTATTGTTAAGCATTCAGTATTCGTCCAGTAGGAATAGTGATGTGTTTGAAGTGGAGTTTTATGGATTTGTTTTACTTGAACCAGAGTCTCATATATTGTGTTTTGTCTTGAATATGATATGTAGCTAAAAAATAAGTTTGAACTCATCCTCCTGGGTCTGACTTATCCCAAGGGCTGTGACTATAGATGCATACCACTAAAAATGGTTTATTGTGAGAACCGTCCACACTGTGAGGAGGAGGATCTGCAGATTTCCATGTGGTGAGAGACTCCAAATCCTTCTGTGTTCTTTATTAAAACTTCCCTGACTCCCTTGGACGTCAGGGCTGCCCTAGTGGGGTCGCTGAGAGCCGACTCCGGTCTCGACTTTGTGCGGCTGTGTGGAAATGGTGAAGCTGTTCATTGGAAATCTTCCCCGGGAAGCCACAGAGCAAGAGATCCGCTCACTCTTCCAGCAGTACGGGAAGGTGCTGGAATGTGACATCATTAAGAACTATGGCTTTGTGCACATAGAGGACAAGACGGCCGCTGAGGATGCCATACGCAACCTACAACACTACAAACTGCACGGAGTGAACATCAATGTGGAAGCCAGCAAGAATAAGAGCAAAGCTTCAACCAAGTTACATGTGGGCAACATCAGTCCCACTTGTACCAACCAAGAGCTTCGGGCCAAGTTTGAGGAGTATGGCCCAGTCATTGAATGTGACATTGTGAAAGATTATGCCTTTGTACACATGGAGCGGGCAGAGGATGCAGTGGAGGCCATCAGAGGCCTTGACAACACAAAGTTTCAAGGTGGGATGTGTGTGGGCTGAAATTCCGAGCTGCGGTTGTGCATGAGAATACACCCTTCGTGGTACCCCATCTCCGGGACTTTCTCTGCTCTGTGCATTCAGTCCCTCAGGAACCATGGACCTTAATTTACCTTGTTAAGTTCAGACTTTCTTTTCCTGTTCTCTTTCCTGCTCAATTTCCTGTTCTCCTGTTTATTCTTCTGTAGCTTCCCATTCATGTTCTGTTTTCCCAGCATGCCTCCTGTGCAGGAACTGGTAGGGGTTGTGCTGTCTCTTCCCTGCTTCCTGACCTTGCTGAGAATCACTGCTCCTCCAGGTTTTCTTTTTTGGCCCAAAGGCTAGTCCTAGAGATTTGGATCACTTTCCAGTGAAATAAATGGTTTCTCAAATTAGAAAAAAAAAATGGTTTATTGCATGGGTACATTTTCTGAACCTAGAAATTATACACACGCACGCACACACACACACACAAACACCACACACACAAACATATATTTTGCACATAAGATGGTGATAATGGCAGTATTTCTTTAAATGCTACTTTTCTGTTTTAAATTATCTTTTAATTCGGTTTGATATTGGAAAAAATATTTGAGTAGAACCTAAGAATTTTTTAATTGTACCACTGCAGATCAAAGGAAAAAATATCCTTTATTTTATCATAATTTGAGGTATTACATTAGATATTATTTTTGTTTTAAATATTTAATTTATTAGGTTTTTATTGAGTTAATAAACAAATTTAATGTAAAATTTTGCTTTTCATTTCATTCTCATCATTTCCCAATATCTGATATAATTCCCAAAAATATGATATAATTTTGAAATTTGAATTTTTTGACATGGTGAATTTTTTCCCACACCCAAATATATACATGTCAATTTCTGGTTCCTACATTATAACATAAATCTTATGACATATATTATCACTCCATTTATTATAAAATAATCATAAAACATATGTAGTATACATAATGCACACACACACTTGCATTTTCTGTTTTCTCCTGTGACTTCATCACTGAAAAAAAAATCTCCATCACCCAGCACCTATTCACTGACAATAGTTTGAGTGAAGAAGGGAGATCTTGTGTGATATGGGAGGGTCTTCTGTTTTGTGTTGATTTCATTGGTTAATAAAGAAACTACCTTGGCCATTTGATAGGCCAGCCCTTAGGTGGGTGGAGTAGACAGAACAGAATGCTGGGAGGAAGAGGAAAGTGAGGCAGACACCATGCCTCTCCTCTCCAAGATGGACATAGGTTAAGATCCTTCCTGGTAAGCCACCACCTCGTGGTGCTACACAGATTACTAAATATGGGTTAAAGCAAGATATGAGAATTAGCCAATAAGAGGCTGAAACTAATGGGCCAGGCAGTGATTAAATGAATATAATTTCTGTGTTGTTATTTCTGGGGCTAAGCTAACTGTGCAGGAGTCAGGCGGGATGAAAAGCAGGCCCGCTCCCATCATTACACTTCTGAGTCTTTCCATATTAGCAATTGTTTAGTTGTTTATAAACCCACAGGGAGGAATGGAAATTACGAGTCCAAGTCCCTGCTCCATCCAGAGTTCTGCTGGGCACTTTGTGATACAGGTAATCACAGCAGGTGTGAGCATTCATTAATGTAACAGCCATATTCTGTCCAGGAAATAGTATGACACACTCCTCATTCTTTGGCATTTTTTTCTATTCTATCTTTTTGTTCCAAAAGCCTTATAAGGCATCATGCAGATATCAAAGTTACTGATGAAAACTAAAGAGTCACTTGCTTTCAGCACTCTGACAGGTCTCTGCAGAAATGACTTCACTCAGAAAGAAGCTTCTTGACTATCTATGTGTATAAACACAAATATTTTGAAGGCACTTTTATGAATACAATGAGTTCATTTAACAGTAGTGGATTCCCCATTTTGGACGTATGAATGCCTTAGGCATGGACTTTTGATCATGTTTACAGTGTAAAGGATGAATTTCTTCCTTTAGGGGCAGGTATCAAATCAATTTTAAACTAGCTGGCTACAATCATAGTAGGCATGCATCTATTGAACCAGTGCACACATCTTGTCTGGCAGGTTGGCATTGCACAACTGGGTAAGACTGATGATGTCTCACTCGTTTCTCTTCTAGAAGCTTACCTAGCTCTGTCCAGCACTGTGAAGCTAGCTAGCCAGCTAACTTCCAACTTAGTTCCACATTAAAGTCTCTATGATCCATAAGCAGTGTGGTGTAGAACAATCATCTTCTAGTGAGCAAACAAGAACAGAGACAGAATATTATATTACTTTGGGATCTCAAGGAACTTCCTGACCAAAAATATAAAGGGAAGTAGCTAAATTAGATTTTTTTTTTTTAATGTAGAAGGCTACCTTATTTTCCTACAATACCAATAAGGTTTGCTTTTATTGATTGCTTAGCTGTTTGTGGATACTACTTTAAGTAATTTCATTAAGATTAGACTAAATTTCCTCTAATGTTTGGAAAGTAGATGGATATTTATATATCTGGATAGGTGATCAAAAAGGTCACAGAAAGATAAGGCATAATTTTGGCAGGGGTAGAGGATGCTTTATTAATAAAAAAAGACAAAAGGCATGGTATAAATCAGTATTTACTGATTTCCTTTTCAATTTCTGTCTGAGAAGTCCTGAGATTCTCTGCTTATGAGTAAAGTGTTAATCAAAAGATATGGTTATTATTTCCTGGTCTTTTATACTCTATCATTCTTTATATTGACTTTATTTTCAGATAAGTCTCTAGTGTCAATTAAGTCTCTAAATCTCAGATTAATTCCTGATTTATGGTAGGCTTTCATGGAGTTCCCCTTGGGGAGCTTAGTACCTGATTCCTCTAGGATGGATTAGCTGGAAGAAGTACTGTCTTGGTAATTCTTATAGGCTGAGGTGTTGAGAAGAATCAAAAGAATGCTCCTCACATTTTTACTAATTTTAGAATTTGGTGACAGTCAAAGAAAGGTGTTTCAAGAGCTCTTCAACTTTCCAAAAGTGTATAATAGGAATAGTATTAGAGTAAATTATTCATTACTTCTATTTCCAAAAATATATTTAAAGATTTCAAGTCTTTGTGGGTTGGGTGAGTTGCTACCGTAGTATGGGACAAATTTCTAATTTCTAGTTTATTTTATATTCATGATATGAGCAAGGCTATTACTGCTGAGATAGGTTGCTGCTTAAGACCTCATTATTTAAGAAATACTTTACTTGACAGACACTGAAATTTTATTTCATATTTCATGCTTATTGATGCAAGGATTATTCAACTAATGCTATTTTATACTATATCCTACTACAAGAGTACATGTGAGCTAAAATATAAAATAGTAACTGAAGGTAAAAATATAAATATATGATGTGGACATTAGAAATGTACTGATTGATAGAATTTTTTTAAAAAAGAAAAGTAGCTGAGGAAGAAAAAAATCTAATAGAAAGCTGAAGAAAGAATTGTGAGCTTTACATGTCAAGCATACTGGAATCATGGGATCTACTCTGGAGCCAAAGAAGGTTAAACAGAAACAGGCAAGGTGGTGGTGGCACATGCCTTCAATCCCAGCACTCTGGAGGCAGACACAGGCTGGATCTGAGTTCGAGACCAGCCTGGACTACAGAGTGTGTTCCAGGTCAGTCATGGCTATGCAGAGAAATCCTGTCTTGAAAAACCAAAAAGGAAAAAAAAAAAAAAAAAAAAAGAATAAAGAATAAGAAAAAGAAAAGAAAAAGGAAGAGAAAAAATACAAACTGTCCAGGTCACAATATCTAGGTGAATAGACAAAAATCCCATTCAAATGAATTTGAAGAGGGAATTTTGATCCCATAGAGATAGGATACTTTTCAGAGCATGATAGATAACTCCGAGTAATTTTAAGGACTGGACTTTTTAAAAGAATATTGTTTAAATCTAAAAAGCTTATAGATCCCTGTCTCAAAATAAACTGACACAGAGAAACAAAAATCGAACAAAAAGCCTGTTAGATCTTTGGTGGGCTTTGGAACCTGTAATTTACTTTCTTTTGTTTAGCTTACACTCTGACACTTTTCAGGCAATGATAGAGCTTTGTTTCTAAGTAGATTAGCCCACATTTTTGGGATAATCTAGGCTGTTAGATGGGTATGAATACAGTGCCCTCCTTTAGTATCATATCTAATAGAGTGCCACTGTCTGGGCAAGCGCCCCTCCTCCCCGTGGTTCTAATTCTAGAGACAGCATGTGTACTCTGCTGGAAAAGTACTGGTTTGTCAGCATGTGGATGACTGGCAGTTCAGATCTGAATACACAGTGTCCTTTCCTTCCCATAATAGAATAACTTAAAAATAAAATTCTCTTTCAGAAGTTTTGCTCCTTTTTGAAGATTTTGGTATATTTTAGAGGAACAAAAGTTCAGTTACATAGAGCCTGTCATACTTGTTAAACACCCAAGTTGAAAAGTTCCTCTTAGCAAACAATGTCTACTTGGCCTGTTTGCCAGCTTCGTTCTATGAGGCAAATTAGAGAATCACAGGCTTGTTACAAAATTACAGAAAACAAACACCAAAATCAAACTACTCAGTTTTCACAACGCTTACTGTTTTGAGACACATTTTTTTTTTTCATTGTTAGATAATTGTGAACCTCTTGCGTGTTCCTTTGGGGGAGACAATGTGAAGGTAGAAATTTAAAAATAATAATAACAAGGATTGATGAAAAGGGACTTTGAAAGGCTAGGAAGTTTGGGTTATCACAGTGGAATGACTAGTTTCCAAAGACGTTCTCAGCTCTGTTTTTCAGGGATTGCATGGTTTAGAGTTAATTTGTTCCTCCTTCTTCTAGGGTTCCCTTGCAGTACTAAGAAGCCCTGATTTCACATTGGCATAGTACATTTTTTCCTCGCCAGATCGCAATCCTCTATAAATGACTTCTAATTCATGAATGTGCTATAATCAATTCTTACAAAGCTGAAGAAACCAAACAAGTCTAGCAACATCATCCTAGCATCCTAGGTTTTTATTTGCTTGTAATGTTTTAAAAACCTTTTGGAAGGAGAGTTTCACTTATTTTTTTTATCTGAGTGATACTTTTAACATAATTTTAGCTATTTATTACATAAACTAGGAGAAAGCAATGCAAATACTTTATAAAACTTTTAAACAGAGAGCAAATTAAGG